CACTCGCCCTTGTCACCACCCTCCAAGTCGAGGACTTTCTTGAAGGCGGCCAATGCCGCGGTGGGGTCTTCCTCCTTCTGTGCTTTAGAATTGTAGTACTGGTTTTCCAAGTCCACGTCTGGCTCTGAGTTACTATCCTCCGAGTACTCCTACGAGGCAACGGGGAGGGGGTGGTAATTAGGCACACAGGGGGCAGCGAATGACACATATTGTTGTGGGGCATCACAGCAGAGTAGCCTGGTCATGCAGCTGCCAGCTACAGATTACATATGTATGCTCTCAGTTCAGGTCAGACTACATTGTCTATCTGACAATGTAACTCAACCTGAATTAGCAGCTAGTGGGCCATGACAGGAAGGGCAAACAATTAAGTGCAAGCTATGCATTGGGTAGCTCAGCATTAAACATGTCATCATTTTTGAAGGACCAGCAGTTTGTATTTAAATTTTAAAAATCCATATGCTGATGGCAATTATATACCAGTTTAATATTTTTAAAGAATGCCACAAAGTACAAACAGCCAAGAAATGAGGCAAAAGATGAAATACATCCTGGTTCATGATCAGAATCAGTTCAAACTCACCAAGTCATAATCTTCATCATCATCGCACATGAAGTCTACCTCTGCATCTGACATGGTTGTTTTGTTTTTCTGGTGTTTTCTTGATGCTGAAAAACATTGCACATGTGATGTATGATTCACACTGAGTATCTAACTATAATTATTACATCAAATGGTCAGCATATAAAACAACACATGGAATTCAAAACATTCTAGAAGTTAACTAGGAGTCCATATCTGTCCAAAGCAGTACAAATTTTGACTGCATCATCAAACTTCTGCTGCAAGGCTTGCCAGAAATAGGTTATGACTAAGGTGCCATAAAAAGTTGTCTCGGGTGAAAAAGCATGAGGTGATAAAACAAATAACATTTTCTCAGTGGTAACTACAAAATCCTGCACTTTTGGAGATGCAGTGGAGGGGAGCACCACTTCCTGCACCCCCCCCATAGTGGAAACCTGAAAAAATTGTGTCTCAAAGCTTCAGGAACAACTGAGAATATTTACACCTGACTGCAGGTATAGTTGGAACTGGCTCCACATTTGTGATGAGTCGTGGTTGAAACATTACCTTAGCAAGTTGCATATTGGTCAGAATTCAAGTTGTAACAATCACATCATCAGTGTACATATTGAAGAAGAAGTCCAGACAACATTATATATCCATGGCTTTGCAGCATATATGTGTACCAAATGTGGTCCCATTGTGCACAACATGATTCCTGTTGAAATAAATGAGCCTGAATTACAGCTTACAATTGTGCTGAGTGGTTCAAATGGCCAAAACATTATTTGCCATCCTTATGAAGCTACAGGACAATGTATTTTTTCTTCAGCCTTTAAATTCTTTTTGTACTTAAGGAAGCCATAAGTCTTTCAAGGTACCACTCAAACTAGCACGTGGAAAACAGCATTCTCACTATCATCTTCATCTGGTATGTACATCTTTCAGCCAGTTAACTCTAAATCAGTCATCAGGTGGTATGAAGCCCTGAGAAAGACTGGATGTTATTTGAGTTTCAGCTATGTTTACACCACAAACTGAGCTATCTCCGTCTATTCACCCTCCAAAAGGCAGGGTGGCTACGCATCAAACTTATAGACCATCAAAGAATCTGGGGGATCGTTGTAAGCATCAAGCTTATGCCCACTAACAACCCTAGGGGACAGCAAGTGCGAACATACAAAAATCTCGCGCAAACCCCAGCTCAAACACCACCCAAACCTCGAACCCAGCCACCGCAGCCGGTACGTGCAGCCTTGCGCTGAAAGCCGCTGAAGGCGACCAAGGCGTAATATACGACGCAAAGTCATCAAAGCGATTTGCTTACACTCTATAAAGGCCACTGCGTGACGTCATTGGAAGTCGCCTTCTCGGTGGCCCATAATGAACACCGAATTGACGGCCATGATCTCAGCCGCCGGATGTCTTGTGCTATATCCCGCACGTGCACCATATTGTGCCACATAACGCATATGGATCTTACATTCAGCGTCCTCATATCCGTCGCTGTAGCCGCCGCCACCTCTTGCCGCCATCGCCGCCGGCCATAAGGCGGTCACCGTCGCTGCTGTCCCGGCTGATGCGGCCTCTCTGCGAGACCGTAACGACCGGCAATAGGCCGGTGGTACCGGTGCTTGCCCCAGAACATACGTTCGCTGGCAGGCACATCAAGCAGTCTCGGCACCTATCGACGCCTGTGACCGCCTGATTACGGAATCCATTTTCGCTCCGTCAAGCCCCCGACAGTGTCTCACCCATTGTTGGTAGCACAGCAGTAGTGGTGGCTTGAGTAGGTACGGCGCTCAGTTCAAATTATTTTTAGCCATGTTTTGCGGGTAGGACCGTATGCGCACGATGCCATTGCGTGGGTAGTGTTGGTCGTCAATGTGAATTGTGCATTGGCCTGCATTAACTTTTTTGCTCAAATCACCCCTTGACTACGCATTGCTAATTGCGGCCAGTATATCCGCATCCAAGTCTTGTACTTCATCGAGGGAAGGGCCACGTTTCGCTTTGGTGCCACCTGGAGGTTAGTGTACCCCCCCCCCCCCTCCGTTTACAAAAAGTTACCAGACTTTGGTCATTTTAGAGCTTGCGTGACAAAGCCTGCGTTATAAGATACGATTATCTCTCTGGTGTAATCCAGCCATCCAGAGTATATATCTATAGTGTATATATTGTTCATCGTTCATTCATGGCGTCATTTGAGGCTCACGCTCTCTCACTTTGGGTGTTTTCTTATAGGTGCCTTCACTTCTCAGTCGCAGGTATGCGCGCCCGATCTGGGATACCTGACCGTGTGTGCGTTTTGTTACATAGTTTCTGCCCATGATAACGCTGTGTCAAAAAGGGAAAGAGACCAGAAAGTCTGCCAGTCCTGCCCCTTTACGGATACCTTACCGCCAGCTAGTGGCCTGTCGTAAGGTTCTGATTCGACACAGGTGGTGGCTTTTTGGTCCGAATGGTCTGAGCGTCAACATTCTGGTTTGCGATCGCCATGCACTCCGTGACCTTTGCTATAATAACAACTGCTATCACTGGACGGCTAGTTTCAAGCGCTGGTGGTGCAGTATCAGCGTCAGCAACCTGTCGCCCTCCCTACTGTCAAATTTTTACACGCCAAACCGAAGCCAAAGACAGTGGCTTTGAATTTAGAAAACGCGAAACCAAAGGCCACCGGCTGCGGACCGAGCGGGGCTGGGGCATGCCTTGGGTGCCATGGCAGGGGGACTCCATGTCTCGGGCACCTGACACGGCTCACCAGTCACACGTCAACTGGGTTGTGTTTCCACCGACCGTCAAGCATGAAGCTGCGCTGTGTGCGAGGTGTCCATTGATTTCGCTGTCTGTTCTGTACTTGTTTAGAGAGATGACGTTGACCTGCGGTTGTCAATTCAATGATCTGGGCTGTGCCGACCGAATCGCGTTAGGTTGAAGCCGATGAGTTTTGAGCGAGAACGTGGTGATGTTCTTAACGAGCGATCAAACAGCATTGTTTGCTCGGCATCCTCCGCCAGGAACAATATATTCGCCCTGATTCTTACCGTTTGCGGCCGCGGTCGTAACGGATGTTTTCTTGCTGTTGCTATCACAGTGTGTTGACGAGCTGTATCTGCCGCTGTTGGACAAGCAGTCCATCATGCTTTTTGTGCATTGTTCGTGGATGTTGTTTGTTCTGCGACGCTTTCTTTGGCGGGGTGTGACCGCGTCCGGTCTCGCGAGTTTGCTCTAGCCGAAGGTCTACCTTGCAATATCAATCGCAGTTGATGAGCACGCCGCGGTCTTGAGTCTGACGCGGCGTCGCGTTGGCCGTTCACACCATGCACGGTGCAGTTCCATGTCTGGTTGCATGCCGGCGCTTCTGGTTACGACGCCTGGCGCAGCGCAGCGTTCTGAACCGGTATCCAAGAGTATGTATTCCGTGTACTGGCGAGCACTTACAAATGAGGTACACGAGTTCAGCTGTGTTTGCCCGTGCGTCTGTTGGAATCCATTGTATGAATGCAATACATGACATGAGCCCACTGTGCACGGCTGCTTCGGCGACGATTGCTGCGTAGCCGAGGCCCGCCGCACGCTGCTGCCGGGACTGGTCGGGAGGACGCACGAAACCCGCCACATCACGTGCAGGCCGCCGGCAGCCGGGACTGATCGGGAGGGCGCACGACACCTGCTGGACCACGTGCAGGCCGCCGACAGCCGGGACTGGTCGGGAGGGCGTGCGACACCTGCTGGACCACGTGCAGGCCGCCGGCAGCCGGGACTGGTGAGGAGAGCGCATGACACTTGTCACATCACGTGCAGGCCGCCGGCAGCCGGGACTGGTGAGGAGGGCGCACGACACTTGCCACATCACGTGCAGGCCGCCGGCAGCCGGGACTGGTGAGGAGGGCGCACGACGCCTGCCACACCATAGGCAGGCCGGCAGCCGGGACTGGTGAGGAGGGCGCATGACACTTGCCACACCACGTGCAGGCCGCCGGCAGCCGGGACTGGTCGGGAGGGCGCACAGCACCTGCCACACCACGTGCAGGCCGCCGGCAGCCGGGCTTAGCACGTCTCATGATGCTCCGGGCGGCAGCCGAGGGCGGGACTGGCGTAGTATGGGTAGTGGATATGTAGGTAAATTCGATGTTTTTGGCCGACGGCGGTTTCCATGTCATACCCCACGGTAATTTGGAATGGCGTGGTGAAAGGTGGTTGGCCATTTGCAGGGCGTCTGTCGATTCTTAATCTCATTTCAAGCACGCAAGCATTTGTTCATCGGTCGATTATAAATGTTGCTCGAATGTATGATGCTTGGAAATGTTTCGCAAGATCATGAGTAAAAATGGTTGCTCGAATCTAAGATACGTGTGAAAAGTTCGCAGTACATATTAAGCTGTATCCACCAGTCGGAAAGTGGTTGCTCCGACCCGAAACATACATAAGGAGATTAATGTCTATAACTGTAATGTAAGCATTCATTAGCACCCAAGCACCATGGGACAGCGATATCTCTCCGAAGCAAACTTCAAAATTGACATCCCATCCTTTTCATAGGCTCCTTTACGTATAGACTTACCCCTAATAGAAGCTAGGAAGACCAGCACATGCACTCAATTTCATAACTCGCTTCGTAAACCCTTCACGGTCTCTCCCACCACCACCCGCGGTCGCCTTGAAATTCTCCGGACGTGGGAGAGATCTCCGCGTGCGACCGATAGCGTGCAGACGCGCCCGCCGTCACTCCACCTCTCACTGATCTGTGGTCGAGCGAACACCCCGGCCAGCAGGAGCGGCGCGGCCCCTCTAGGCCAGCACGAGCTCTTCTACCCCCACGTCGCACGCCATCTGCGTCCTTTCGGGCGTTGCTGGCGAATCTGTCGGACCGTGGACGCTGTCATTATGGTAAGACAATGCTCGACAGGCGCCATTGGGCGTGTTTGAGAGGGGCCATGGGGCGGAAAGGAACGGGGGACGGACAAAATGACGCCAGCTGGAAAGCACGGCAGTGACCCTAGTTTTATTCTATGGAACGTATCATTAACTACTGTTCCTGCAAGGCATACGTGTAGGAGGACTCACTGGATACGCCAGCCCGTTAGATAGCCTTGCGCCAGCCCACGGTTTATCCCGAGAGTGGTGCAGTCCAGTACTCCAGAGTAGTGCAGAGTAGTGCAAAGTGGTGCAGAGTAGTGCAGAATGGTGCAGAGTAGTGCAGAATAGTGCAGAGTAGTGCAGACCAGTAGTCCAGTCCAATAGTCCAGAGTAGTGCAGTCGAGTCCGAGAGTGCCAGCAGATCGTAATTTCTTCCCTTGGATCCATAGGGGGAAAAATGTCTCCTGCCTCTTATTCATGCTTAAATCCCGGCAACTCGGTGTACGATAGCCAGCAGCTTATCGAGAAGCGGCCATTGGGTGCTGCACTAAACACAGACTAACCGTCCGTCGAGCTACCTATCCTGAACCGAGTCCTGGTGAGTTTCGCGAGAACCAGCGATGCGTCGCGTCTCTTACCGAACTGGAACCAGGCGTGAAGGCTGGCCTCTCGGCGCGCCTCGGCCACGGCTTGGCGCAGCGCCAGCAGGCAGGCCACGCTCATGCAGACTGCCGGCTCGCCCGTGGCTGTCGGCCCCAGGTCACTGAGGTCAGCAGGGTCACCGGGGGGCTGACAGGTGACGGGTTCATCAAAATCAATAAAAAACAGGATCAACGGATCGCCGGGGTCAACAGTGTAAACTAGCTCATCAGGGCCATGGATGTTAACCAGACTGAGCCCGAGGTCCAAACAGAGGACAGAGATTAGCAAGACTACAGCGGTCAACAGCGTCACACAGATAAAGGTGTCACCAGGGGCCAACGGGAATATGGAGGTTAGCGGGGTAAACAAGTCCAACAACGTCACCAACATCACCGGCACCCGGCAGAGAAACAGAGCCTCAGTTCATACAGTGGTCTGCAGGATCAGGGAGGCATGATGAGTGACATCACAGGCATGACCACCAGCACACTGGCTCAAATGCTGCTCCAGGTAGTCTTTTAAAGTAACATTTTCGAAGAATGTCGCCATCAAAATTAAGATAACATTTGTATGCGATATTTAATCCGAGCATTTTGAATGGACGTATTTCTGGTTCAAGCTCTGCCAGTGCTCACAATAGGCAGTGCTTGTCGTCTGAGCACTGACCCCCATCACCCAACCGGCAATGTCAGGTCAGCGGCAGCATCTATTGACAGAAGTTTAAATTGCCGCGACGCTCGTCACGGTCCGTCCCGCCCTCTGACGTCACTGGAAGCACGGCCTCTGCCACCCGCCGCAGGCCATTTCCGTCAAGGGCAAATGGTGAGCGCTTAAAGCGACTTGAGCCCACCCTGCCAAGGGTTGGTGGATCAGAAGAAAGGCTCTCTAACCATCCGAGCTATTGGTACGCACTTTGACCGGGGGACGGAACGAACGTGACGTCCTGAGACCGTGGGAATGGATAAACGGGACGTAGTGTGACCGTGGGACGGGACGGACGGGACGGACGGGATGTGCTATGACTGTGGCACGAGACGGACAGAACGTACTGTGACCGTGGGACGGGACGGATTGGACGGACTGTGACCGTGGTACGGGACGGACTGGGTATATTGTGGCCGTGGGGCGGGGCGAACGGGTCGTGCTGTAGCCGTGGAACGGGGCGGGCTGGATGTACTGTGACCGTGGGACGGTGCGGACTAGACGTACTGTGACCGTGGGGTGGGGCGGACTGGATATATTGTGACCGTGGGGCGGGGCGAACGGGTCGTGCTGTAACCGTGGGACGGGGCGGACTGGACGTGCTGTAACCGTGGGACGGGACGGACGGAACGGACTGTGACCGTGGGACGGGGCGGACTGGGTATATTGTGACCGTGGGACGGGACGGACGGAACTGACTGTGACCGTGAGACGGGACGGACTGGATATATTGTGACCGTGGGGCGAGGCGAACGGGTCGTGCTGTAACCGTGGGATGGGGCGGACTGGACGTGCTGTAACCGTGGGACGGGACGGACGGGACGGACTGTGACCGTGGGACGGGACGGACAGAACGGAATGCGACCATGCTCCGGATGGGGACTGGTCAGTCCGGTGTCTGCTCAGCTCCAGCATACGTGAATATCACCGACAGGACGAGCAGAGACTAGTTTGTCAAAAAATTCCACTCTGAGCTAAGCGGGCGGGGGGGGGGGGGGCAGGGGAGGTTAAACCCCAGGAATCTGAAAAATGGCGTTAGGTCGTCGTAGCTACACGACCGGCCAAAACCTTAGAGCGGATCTTACCCTTGGAGTTGAATATTCCGACCGGATTCCTGTTGTTCTTGAGCAGCTTGACCCTGAAGTCTCTTGGCATGTCCTTGTGAGTGGGAACGTAGTAATTCTGTAATGGTATAAGCACAGAAGCAAGACATCTTCGTCAAGTTCTAACAAGCACATCACCATTTATATTAACACCCTTCCACCAGATCAAATGGGTGATAAAAGTCTCGCGACCAGGTAAAATTACATTGTTTCCATGCAAGTGGAGAGCGTTTATGTCCGCCAAAATTAACTAAACCCATGTCTCCATGGGAAGGGGCAGGGGCGTAGTTTCGCAAAATAAGTCAGGCAGACCAAAAAGTGAAAAACAGCCCAAGTTGCCCCCAAAACTTGCTGACAACCACGCTTCCCACCAGATTTTACCCACTTTTTTCATGAAATGTAGAAAACTGAAAATCATGTTGCGAAGCTTAAATCCTTCCTGGCTAAAAAGAAAACTGCGCCGCTGAAAGGAGGGAATAGAATGCCTTCGTAGAGAGGAAAATGATGATATGCCTATGGAAATAGAAAGGGATAATAGCTTCTCTATGGAAAAGAAAATCATGACGTACGTATATAAAATGATTTTCACCCGGAAGCAGCTGTTGCGTTTTGCAACTCAAATGTAATCAAAACACTTTTACACTCATGGTGCGTGGAAAACGAAAACGAAAAGGAAACAGAAAGCAAAAAAACAAAACCAAAAAGAGCACGAGATAAAGTGCGAGATATAAAAATGAGTAAGGGGAAATAGTGGGAGAAAATCATCCAGAGGAACAACAGGCGCGAGTTAGCATCAGGTGTGCAGGAGCACAGTGGGTAGGCGAGCGCGCGTGCGGCTGCTCTCACCCAGGCACGGTTGGTGAGCCGACGGCCGGTCTCCGGGTGGAAGCGGTACCGCTCGGTCATCATCAGGCCGACGCCGTACGCGAACGCGCCCTCCACCTGGCCCACGTCGACGGCCGGCGAGAGCGGCTGACCGGCGTCCTCCATGACGTCGGCGCGGTGCAACAGACTCTCGCCGGTCAGCACGTCCAGCTCGGCCTCAACCGCCGTCAGACCCCAGACTGTGTACATGTCGGGCGGCGCGCCCGCCGGCGGCGACTGACTGCGAACGCCACAGGGACGGGCGTGAGTCGGGGCTCGCGGGACGTCCTAGACGAGTGGGGGACGACCGGCCAGAGAGGAGGGCGGGAGGCGAGGGCTTGCGGGACGTCCTAGACCAGTGGGGGACGACCGGCCAAAGAGGAGGGCGGGAGGCGGGGGCTCGCGGGACACCCTAGACGAGTGGGGGACGACCGGCTAGAGAGGAGGGCGGGAGGCGGGGGCTCGCAGGACGCCCTGGACGAGTGGGGGAGGACCGGCCAGAGAGGAGGGCGGGAGGCGGGGGCTCGCGGGACGCCCTGGACGAGTGGGGGACGACTGGCCAGAGAGGCGGGCGGGAGGCGAGGGCTTGCGGGACGTCCTAGACGAGTGGGGGACGACCGGCCAAAGAGGAGGGCGGGAGGCGGGCGCTCGCGGGACGTCCTAGACGAGTGGGGGACGACCGGCCAAAGAGGAGGGCGGGAGGCGGGGGCTCGCGGGACGCCCTAGACGAGTGGGGGACGACCGGCCAGAGAAGCTGGCGGGAGGCGGATGCTTGCGGGACGTCCTAGACGAGTGGGGGACGACCGGCCAGAGAGGAGGGCGGGAGGCGGGGGCTCGCGGGACGCTCTAGACTAGTGGGGGACGACCGGCCAAAGAGGAGGGCGGGAGGCGGGGGCTCGCGGGACGCCCTAGACGAGTGGGGGACGACCGGCCAGAGAGGCGGGCAGGAGGCGGGGGCTTGCGGGACGTCCTAGACGAGTGGGGGACGACCGGCCAAAGAGGCGGGCGCAGCGCTGACGTAGGCGGAACAGCGCAGCGTTGTGGCGCGTTGCACTGCCAATTTTTTGCGACAAATGCGTGCACTACTTCTATCAATTGACCTCTGCTTCACAAAGAGCTGACGTGTTCGTAGATACCACGCCTTACGAAAACAGTACACGTCATGAATCAAAACGCGTCCAGTCAGAAAGCGTCCCGAATCCGTGCCGTCACTGCGACTAAAACATGCTAGAACAATAAACATCAAAACTCCCACGGCGTGACACCCGTTACACGGCGTTGCGTTAACGGCTGCACGAAACGCAGGTGGCCAAGTCGGAGTTCCAAGACCCATATTGAGTGCTAGACTACACAATCACTTACCGGTAATATCATGCACCACGAACATTGCATGGGCTTGATTGACAGATGTTGGGTGTGAAAGCTCAGGTGAATTAATACTTTTAGGGGAGGCAGGGTTAGCACCGCCCTTTATTGAAACGCCGCCCACCCCCAAGATCAGAAAAATGTTATAAAGCACATCAACAGCTGGCGACCCTTTCGACCGTCACGTGGGAGAGGAAGAAAGGGCGTAGGGACGTTAATTGGATGTTGGAGATGAAATACAGCGTTCTTTACCTTTTCATGTAGTGGTATTGAAAATGCAAGACTGTCCGCCCACGGCAGTAGACAGAGCAGTGTTGGATCATACCAAATGACGATTTATCTGAGGTTCGTAAGTATTTGCGCCAAGTTTGCGCCGCATGGATCGTTCCTGGCGGATGGGCGGTAGCGCCATCCACGCTGCT